CCGCTGAGGCCACATGCCCAAGCACAGCAGCCTCCCTGAGGACCATCCTCACTTAGGACGTCCTGTGCCCCAGGCCAACCTCTCTAGAGCCCAGGACTTACTGACCTCCCCCAGGAGTCCTGCCTCCCTCCTGCCAGGAAACAAAAGCCATTTTAAAAGTCTGTTTGGAACACAAAGATTCTTTTCTTTTTTTCTTTCCTTTTCTTTGTTTTTTAATTGCCAGAGGGTGTGGGTGTGCTTGTCAGAGACAGTGAGGGGAGGTGGAGGAAAAGCACGCCCCCACCCCGTGAGGCAAGGTCATGCTGTCACTCCTCCATCCTCCATCTCTCCACCCTGTCCAAATTTTATACACACATGCACACAAACCCTGGCGTGCATTTCCAGCTGCTGGGTCTGGGATTCAAACCACTGTTGACCATGTGGGACCCAGTTTCCCTAACCACTGGGCAACCCCTGTGGGCCCCAAGGATTCTTAAACAAGGTATGCATGGAAAGCACCAGCCCTAAGGAGAAGGCCGATAACTGGACTATGTTACCAATAACTGTCCACTACAAGGTGCTCTTTAAAGGATGAAAGGGAAGCCGCAGGTGGGAGGAGACACCTGTGCATGTTTAGGATAACGGACTGCCTTCGACCATGTGTTAGGCCATTGAGAAGGTCTCGATGTGTTTTTCTATGCAAAACGCATCATGACTTTCCCGGGGCCGAAGATAAGGAATAAAGGGAGGGAAAATGGGCAAATGACTCACCAGGTCGTCATGGAAGAACACATGCAACCGCGGTGATGTACAGCTTTTTTTCTACTGAAGTTACCCATTTTGGGACCAGCAGATGGCATTACGGTCATATCGGCGGACTCCCACGTAGTCAACTGCGGTTCAAGTCCCGGACCCGGTGACTTAAAACTCAGGCACATGTATGCGCGTACCCAAAAGGAAGGAGGAGAAGGGATTGCCGCATGGCCATCCCCCTGGAGAGAGGGGTGAGTTTTAGCTTTCTGTCTCTCTGCCTCTCTCTCTGTCTCTCAGGCGAGCACACACACCCTATAGCAAAACTCTCTAGAAAAAAAAAAAGTTGCCCCTTGGAAGAATATCGTTTCCTTGAGGACGTGGAGCAGCTGCAGCTGTCACTCAACGCTGGTCTGAGTGTCAGCGGCTACGCCCAGGTTAGACGTGGCTGTGACCACTTCTGAAGACCATTTGGACATATCGACTACCTCTGAAGACGCGCCTCCACTCTGCCCCAGCAATCCTGGCCCCAGCACGCATTTCCCCAACCACTCATCATCCTAGGCCTGCTCCAGGGTCAGTACCACACTGCTTAAAAAAAAAAGTTTTTAGAAAGGTTTTAGGTTTACAGAAAACCCACGCATCTCCACATACTCCACACCCAGTTCCCCTGCTGCTGCCTTACGCCAGCCTGGTCCACACTGTCTTCATTGGCTGTGCAGTGTCTCTACCTGGAAGAGTGAGTTCCTCTTTTTACTATTTCCTGTGTTCAATTGCTTAATTATTGTGGACTTCTATTCCTTTCATAAACATTTTAGCATTTTAGAATAACGGCCAAATTATCCCAGAATTCTCACTTGCAAACTTTTAAACTATTAATTTCTTCCATGGCAGACTCTTCCTAGCGCAATCCACCCCAGTCCCAGCCAGCCCGGATCATGGCATGGGACGGTCTTGGGATGAGAACCTCGGACTTTCCCATGCGAGTCCAGCTGCATTACTGCAACCTGGCCCTTGCTTGAATTTTAAAAATGTTTATTCCCTCCATGAGTGAGAGACAGAGACACAGAGAGACAGCACTCCTAACAGGGTCCTGACACTGCGGTCCACCCCCACCCTCAGCTAGCCCTGGCCATGGGCACCCACCCAGGGAGAGCTTGGACCTCCCACGTACCTTGAGGAAATGGTCGTGGGCATTCTTGCCCGGTCCCTCTCTTGGTAAGATACCTACTGCATTTCCTGCCTTCATCGGGATGATGGTGGCTGTCACACTGTCACACCATTCATGCGGTGATCCCCCTCAGCCTTAATGCGTGATTATGGAATAGACTGCCGAATTCAGACAGACAATATTTGAATCAGGATTTTTATACCCACCTTCATAAGCAAAACAGGGCTCAAATAATTTGGTGTGTGCGTTGTGGTCGTCTGGTTTGGACTGACTTCTCTCTTAAGGTGAGCTGGTTCGCTTTCCTCTTTATCCTGCTTTCCAGAATGAGTTCTGTCGGAGGAGGGAGGGCTGTCGTTTCGGAAATCTAAGTAAACTTGGCGGATTTGTTCTAGGATGTATTCTGAGAGAAGGGGTAGAGGTCGTTACCTTTTTCCAAATGGTTTGATAGTTGTTTTTCTTATGCTAATTTTGACATTCTATATTTCCAGATATTTAATGCTGTAGAGTTACTAGGAATATTCGTGGTTAATCTCTGCTCTATCTGTAGTTACTTCTTAATTCTCACTTAATTTGCATCTTCATTCTCTCCTTTGGTCAGAAGTTTGTCTACTCTTTGGTCTTTTCAAAGAAAACAGTTTTGATTTAGTTTATTACTTCTATTTTTGTCCAATGTCCCGCTTTTTAAAAAAATGATTATTTAATTTTATTTATTCATTCATTTATTTTAATTTGACCAGAGAGAGACACTGAGAAAGAAAGAGAGAAAGTCCAAAAGCAAGTCACCAGGTCTGGGACTTGAACCGTGGTCAGTCATGTGGGAGTGTCTAGCGCCTTAACTACCATGCCACCTGCTGGGCCCCCAATCCTGCTTTTATTATAGCTATTCTTTCTTTGCAATTTCTTGTTGATCTTTCTTCAATTGAAAGTTTTTTTTTTTTTTAAGAATTATTTATTTTAATTTTATTTATTATTATTACTATTTACTATAGGGCATGTACACTCACCGGAAAGAGACAAGAGAGAAAGAGAAAGCAAGCCTGCCAAGTCTGGGACTCAAACCGCAGTTGGCCATGTGGGCGTCTAGCACCCTAACCACCATGCCACTCACTGGCCCCCCTTACTTTGTTTTTCATTGTTCTGTTTTTTTAGATACATTTAAACTATCAAGTTCATTGTATCTACTGCTTCAACTGTGTCTTGCAAATTTTGAAGTGTAGTGATTTCATTATTTTGTGCTACAATTTTAATACGTTTCCTTATGATTTCCTCTTATTTAGTAGTATGTTTTGCATTTTCCATGTACAATTTCGAAACTATCACTTTGTCATCGATGTCTAATTATATCACCATCTGACCAGGGATGAGTTTAGGTATGACGTTGCTCTCTGGGATTTACCAAGCTTCTTGAGCAGCTTAGTTCAGTCTTGATATGATCTATGCTGCGTTGAAAGTTCTGTGATTATTAATTAGGTTATTCAAATCTGTTATATCTTTGCTCACCTTTTATCAGTTTGACTATGGTTTCTGAGATGGGTATATAAGATGTTCAAGTGCAATTGCTGATTTATGTTTTCTCTTTCTTTTTTTGAAAAAAAAAAGTATGATTCTTTTAAAAATAAATTTTAAGCCCTTTGCCATAGGGTGCATGTGCTCACTAGAGAGACAGAAAGAGACAGAGAGAGGCAAAGTGAAAGATCACCTGCCATGGGGAATAGCCACGCTGCAATCCCTTTTTCTTCATTCTCGCCTCTCATTTTCCTTGCACACATTCTTGGTGTGACTTTCTTTTCTTTTCTTCTTTTCTCTTCCTTTTTAAGAGAGACTTTTGCTATAGGGTACATACGCTTGCCAAAAAGACAGAAAGCGAGAAATCACCCTCCCAGTGGGAATGGCCACATCTCAGTCCCTTTTCCATTCTCCTCTTGGGATTTTGAGCATGCATGCACACAGGCCCGGAAAGAGTTTTAAGCCGTTGGGTCCAGGACTCAAACAACAGTTGACTACCTGGGAGTCCAGTGAGGTAACCATTCCGCCATCTGCTGGTCCTGCCCAGTGTTTCAGTCCGCCAGGTTCAGGATTCGAACCATGGTTAACCAAGTGGGAGACCAGTCTTGACCATCATCCACCTGTCAGCCCTGCTGACTTATATTTGTTAGTGCCCGAGGCTGTCTTTGGTGTCTAAGGCCCACGTGTGCTTCCTTGGAATCTCCAGACCCAGCGACTCAGAGGGACGCGGTGCATAGGAACACAGCCTGGCTTGCCACCGTCTCTGCTGAGCGAAACATCCATCTTGCGGGTGTCCTCATGCCACCGAGGGAGGAAACTGCCCACTGTGACAGGCAAGTCAACGGGCTGCAGCCATGTCAGGAGGTGACACAGCCGGAGGGGGAAGCCAGCTCTTCCAGCCGCATGCTGCGTACTCGGTTTTCCCATGGCTTCTTGCAGAATCCTCTGGGCTGCTCCTCTCCCCTGCTGTGGGGAAGAGCCAGAGATCTGGAGGGAGGGCCTGGGGTGTGGGCTAGAGGTGCTGATGCTCTTGTGAGGACTCTAGGGGTCCCGTGAGATGTGCGCTGAGCTAGGGGGTCACCTGTCCTGGCTCCTTCCTGCCAAACCTGGCGTGGTGGCAGCTGAGACTGCGATGCGGAGCCCAGAAATGCAGGGGTTACTCACCGAGGCGAGAGCTTCCAGAGTGAAACCTGAGCTGGTTCCTCGCAAGGAGCGCAGAGCCTGTCTAGCCCGAGGCCTCCGGAGCAGCACGTTGTCTGTCAGGAGTGGTGACTCAGGGCAGGTGAGCAGTGGGGGCAGGGCTGCGCGCGCACCAGGAGCCATGGCCAGTCTCCAGCCCTGCCGGACCCTCTGAGATGAGCACCCACGTTCCTGCCAGGCCTTAGTGAGGATCCCCGGGGCTGCTGCCAGGGAAGCCTGCCTCCCCGCACTCTCCTGAATCCCTCGCTGCTGTGACCTCCTCACGCAGGGGCACTGCAGGCTGCCAGCCCTTCTAGAGGATTAAAGGCTGGGGGGCAGGGAGGCATCTGTTCCCAAGGAGCCCCAAGGAACGCTGACCTCTGCTGGCTTCAGACAAGACAGCAAACCAGGCAAAGAGGTTAAAACAAACGTTTATTTAACAAATTATATTAAGAACACAGACAATCACACAGTGAAACTTCCCTTTGCCAAGTACAAGTCACCTTGAATAAATACGTGGTAAGGGTGTCATTCCTAGGTCCTGTCTGAGGCCGACAGGGTGGCCCGGCGACTCGGGCCCTTTGCTGGAGGACAAAGCCCTGTCTCATGGTGATGACAGGCACAGCTACCCCCGAGCCTGAGTTCAGAACGGATGGAGAAGGCCGGGCCTGCCTGAAGGCGCCAGGCAGCCTGAGTGGAGACCATCGGCTCTGTGGTGACAGCGCAGGAGCCACCGGCCTGGAGCACCGCTCATGGCACAAGGCTGCTTCCTTAAGGACCCCCTTTGCTCGTAGCCTCAGACCCATTGGTTCTTGGAGGAGCTACGGGCTCAGGGTCCCCCACAAAGGGGGGTGCCAGCAACCCCACAGGCCTTGCGGAACCCCTTCTGGGTGGAAGGGGCCAGGCAGCTGGGCTCAGTACCCATGGCACAGTGGTGTGGTGACCCGTGGGGCCCAGGGGTGCTCAGAAGTCCTTTCCAGGACCGGAAACAGGCCATCCTTAGGCATGTGGTTATGACGACGCTGTTCCAGGGGCTCGGGGTGGCATCAGCTTCTGTCACTTACCAGCCTGCCCCTGGGGACAGCCAGTTCAGCTTCTTCGTCTGCACCAAGGAGCAAAGGACGTCCAAGTCTGGGGTTTGCTTTTCGGGGGAATGACAGAAGTGTGCTTCAAGTGCCTGGCCTCAAGCCTGGCACGGAGGAGGTGCTGAGTACTCTTCGGTCCCCTGGTCTCCCACTGCCATTTTGGGTCACACAGGGACCACCAGCCGCCAGGTGTCAACAACTCCCACGATGGCTCGGCCACAGGGCACTGAGCAAGGGCAGGCGGCCAAGCCTGTTACTTCTCTACCTCCACTGGGGCTCTCATCTCCTCGGGCAGCAGAGGGTGTGGCTGGCATTAGTTCTTGGCCTGGGGGGGCTTAATCACATGTCTGCAAGTGAACTTGGAGTGAATCACACTCATCACCTTTGTGCCATTTGCGAAACCCTTGGGGAGATGCCCTGAATTTTCAGAGGAAAAGGGGAGGCAGCAAGGGCCCTGTGCTCTGGTTAGTTTTTTTCGGGAGGGGTGAGGGTGCTGGGCAGGGACAGCAGCACCAGCGGGAAGGGCTAGGGGTGGGTGCCCGGGACGAGGTCGTGCATGCACTTCACATTTCCAAGAGAACCTGGTCCTTCCCTTCCCGCGGGACGGGGTGGGGGCTAGTGAGGGGCTACACCCTGCCCCACAGTAGAGGAGGTCGCTCAGGTGCCCGGGTGAGCTGGGGCTGCACGAGCCCCCTCCCCCAGCAGGCGCTTGCCTTTGTGCACACGCCCTTATTGTCACCCACACACTTGCTCACCCTCACCCACCTCCCAGAAGGTAAGAAACGAGGGTTAGGAGTAGCCTAAAATCTACCACAGAAGACACCAACTGTCCATAACACTGTCCCTCCTAATCGCGTCGAGCTGCCATCTAGGACCAGGGTCAGTCAGCGTCAGCCTACGTCAGCAATGCTACGGAGGAGGGGATGGCTCCCACTCGCCCTCCTCCCCGTGGCCTGCCTCGTCCCTGCAGGAGGATGTGCAGGGGTGTCAGAATGGGTCCCAGCTTGGGGGGCTGTGGCATCAGGGGGCTGTGGGCACCCCTCTTCCTTTCCCAGCAACCCCTCCTGCTCACTCTGCCTCCCTGCTCACTGGCAGGGGCCCACACTGTCACCCGAGCTGTCCAGTGCTACCTGCGGCTGTGGCAATGCCTTTTGCTATGGGGAGGCCAGGGAGGGCCTGCGGGTCCGCCTGCCCGAGGGCAAGGAGTGGGGGCGAAGGACAGAGTGCACAGACCCGAACGCGGTGGGCAGGAGGAGCCAGAGCTCCACCCAGCCTCCCACACAGCCGGCCACCGGGTCACTCCTCTGCTGGGCTTTGAATCACACAGGCCACTTGGTTCGGGACCAGCCACCTTGACAAGCAGCAGTAGACACGGGTTCTCATGGGGCTCCTGACCCCCAGAAGCACCAGGAGCTTTATGGCGGAGACATCTGAGGCAGCCCAGCGGTTCTCCCTGTCGAGCACCGAGGGCAGCGGCCCCGTGGCCGACCCCAGGGGCCTCCCAGCTGGGTCCACCAGGGGTGTCCTTAGGTCTCAGGAGAGGTGGGAGAGGTGGCCACTTCCCTAACACACAGAAATCAAGAGGTATCCAGACAAGATTGGGGGCAACCGAGGGGCCTGGGGTCTGGAAAGGGAGGTGCTGCCGTGGGGACATGAGGTATTTGTGACCCTGCCCGCCCCCTGGCCACACGCCAGCCAGTCTTTCTCCTGCTGCCGGGACCCTGTGGGCACCTAGGTGTCGCGGGCCACCTCAGCAATGGCGGCAGGGACAGGTGTGCTTGGGGAGGCAGCAGCTCCCTGCACCCCCCATACCACCTCTAGTCCGCCAGGCCACCCGGCGACCCAGAGGCATGACAGCCACGTCCTATGGGACCAGGACAGACAGCACAAAGCAAGGTGGTGCCCAGGCTGGGGCCCGAGCCCTGGGGACGGCAGTGACGCCCACTCAGGGCAGGCGTGAGGAGTCGTGAGGGTGCCAGCACCTCTGACAGGGGAAAGCTCTGGCCCAGCTCTGGGGCTTGGGTCCAGGGCTTTCCGTGGCCGCTTGTTCCTAGGGGTGGATGGTGTGGAGGCCCAGCCTGGTTCTGAGGAGCCGGTGCCTGCATCCCTCCAGGCCCGGTGCCATCTCAGAGCAAGGGCATGCCTATTCCCAGGGTGGCCCAGCGGAGGCAGTGGGAGCTGGTGTTGGCACGCGGGGCCCATGCTGAGCCCTGCCGGGCGTGAGTGTGAACACAGTGTCCTGGGCAGCAGCCATCCTGGCCTCGTCCCCAGGCGGGGACATCCAGTGTGCTGACCAGGTGGTGAGTCCATAGGAGTCTCGAGGGGTGAGGTCCACTCAGGGGCGCCTCTGCTTCCCCCAGCATCGCCCAGGGGATGCTGCGAGACGCTGGGGGCCGTCGGTCCTGCCAGGCCGGTGAGAAGGGCTGGCTCCACAGCAGCCCTAGTGGGGCCACCTGTAAGTCTTGGAGGGTCCTCTGCGAAGCCACCACCCCTGGATCTTCTGGAGGAAACAGTGGCATTGTGGGGTCTCCCACGGTGGGCGACGGTCAGGAGCGAAGGGAGCTGCAGGATGACCCCGGGCACTGGCTTGGGGCAGGGTGGACGATGACTCCGTGGAGGGGTCAGGCTTCTGTGGGGCGGCTGGTCATCACGCAGACACGTTAGGAGCTGCTGGTCACGACGGCACACACGGGTTAGTTACGATTAGAAACGATGCCCCCAGGGCGCTGGGGTGTCACGTCAGGCAAGCTGATGACAGAAGGGACAGTCCATTGCTGTCAGCCCGGCTGGGCTAAGTGTGTGGGAGGGAGGGCTGGCAGGAGGGGCGGGGGCGGGGAGCAACCCGCAGCCCCGGGCCCTGTCAGTAGTCTGGGCGGCAGGTCTCCTCCCCGTGGCCACAGCCGTGGCCCCTCAGGACTGGGGAATCTGATGACACCGGGTGGGGCTGGGTGGCAGCCTGGCGGCGGCGCTCTGCTCTGTGCGGAAGCTGTACTCGTACTGTAGGACAGGGAGACATGGTCAGTCCCTAGACACCCCGAAAACCCATCCGCGGCCGTGGACAGCGCGCGTGAGGCTGAGGCCACCCCGCTGAGTGGCTAAGCACTGGGTGGCCGGTCGTCCTATGCTGGCTGGAGGCTGCCCTCTGCATGTGCACCTGGGCACGTGGGCTGTGCACCAGAGCTGCGTGTGCACGGGTGTGTGCGCACGTGCACATGGGGTGTGACAGGCTCAGGAGGGGACCATCAGACCTTCTGCAGTCTCCACCTGCTTCCGCATGGCAAGACCTGGCACCAGCAGGACAGAGGCACACGTGAAGCCACCTGCGAAACCACGGTGCTCCTGTTTTGAGAGATGTCACATAAGCCCAACGTGAGCCCAGGCTGGCCTCTGCCACCAGGCCCTGGAGACCCCTGACTTGCCACTCCAGCGAAGGTTTCCTGAGCACAGTGGATGACAGGTGCTGTAGTGGCAGGGCGGGAGGGGGCTGGTGAGCTGCTGCGGGGCATGACCCCACTCACCTTCCTCGGGGGGCTCAGAGGTACTCCTGGTGAGGACCATGCAGAGGCCACACAGCTGGCCCGGGGCTGCCTGGCGGAGGGGACCAGCCCTCACACTGCAGCCTTGAGCTCAGCTGACTCTGACCCTGGGTCACCGGGGTGATGTGGGAGCCTGGAGGAGATGCAGAGCAGGGGAAGGACCCTGGATGGAGGGGCCTGGGGTGAAGGCCAGGGGATGCGACATGCAAACGTGAGCAGGCACCTGGGCAGAGGCGGCAGAGGGAGGCCTGCCCCCGCCTCTGGGCACCATGGGGCTGCGGTGGGTGGGGCATGACCAGGACGCTCCCCCTAAGGCAGCAGGCACCTGGCCATGCCGGTTGGGGAGGGAGGAGCTTGGAGTTCGGGTCAGGCCATGGCTGCCCTGTGTCCTATGTATATACAACCCCGAGCAGCAGAGTGGCCGTAACAGGGCTTCCCTGCGGTCCAGAACCCAGCGGAGCTGCCTGGCTGGGCTCAGCCTGGGCCGGAGCCGGCGTCCCAGGACACCCACCTGACTGTGGACTGGGCGGGACACTGTGATGCAGGCGGGGCCAGTCCACTCCGCGGGAGGCCAAGCACCGACCACGTGGGAGGCTGGGCCCGGTGCAGTGTGGGGTCCCCATGGTCCTGCCCACCAAACACGCTGGCAAGGCCCGCATGGAGCAGGAACACAGCTAAGAAGGGCTTTGGGCTGGGGCCAGCATGTGGTGTGGTGGTTAAGGCACTGCACTCCCACATGGCTGGCTGCGGTTTGAGTCCTAGACCCGCTGGCTTGAAGCCGGGCACTTGTGGGTGTGCACCCGAAATCCTGAGAGGAGAATGAAGACCAGTTTGGCGGGGTGACTTCTCACTCTCCCTCTCTCTTTCTCTGTCTCTCCCTGGAGAGTGCGTGTGCCTTACAGCAAAAACCTGGAGGAGGAAAAGGGCTTTGGGGTCGGAGTACGTGAGAATGGAGGGCAGCAGGAGGCGTTTCTGGGCGGCTCTCTCTGAAAGTGGGAAAGGAGCCTGTGTGGTCAGCGGCCTGCGTGTCAGTGCTGTCCACGCCACCCTGCCGGAGACCACAGGCTGGCCCCGGACAGACAGACAGACCCAGGCTGCGGCTGAGACTCCCCGTGCCGTGTGGACAATGGGGTGGGGTAGGCGACCGAGGGCTGGGGACTGAATGGCATGATGTGGCCCTCCTGATGGCGGGCAGGACTCAAGGCCACAGGGCGGCCAAGGCAGGTCTCCTCTCCGCTCTGAGCACCTGCGAACTCTCCAGCCGGACCACAGGAGCTCAGGGCCTGCCCCACCCCACCCTGCCTCTGGTCAAGCACTAGCTGAACATCTGCTGGCAACGCAGGAGGGCCCACGGACTGCTCACCCTGGCAGTCCTCTCTACCCACCAGGGCACAGGGCGGTCTGGGGATGCCAATCCCAGAGGCTGCCAGGCACTGGAGGAGGGATTCTGGCAAAGGTGGGGTCATACTGCCACCTGGTGGCTACTCGGGTCCATGCATGCAGGGAACAGCTATAAATACCCTCGCGGCTGGCCGCATGGGCACCCACTGACGTCCAGTGTGTTGGGTCCCAAACAACTCAGCAAGACCGCCACCTCCGGAGGGTGGCTGCACAGGGTGTGGGGCGGCCACAGGAGGATGCAGAGAGGGCTTCAGGGGCAGGTGGCACTGTCTCTAACATGGCAAAGGCCAGATGGGGGAGTCCTGGGAGCAGTGGGTATGGAGGTGGCAGGAACGTGGGGGCCTCGGGTGGAGGCCTCCGTGACATTACCACTCAGCAGTGGACGGTGGCGGGGACTGTGGGGCCATCGGCCGAACCGGCGGCAGAGCAGGAAGAGCAGTTTGGGCTAGAAATAGAGTGGCTTTGCCGGAGGAGGAGGGTGAGGTCCTCCAGGAGCCCCCAGGGCAAGGAGGCTGGGACGCGGGCGCGAGGGGTGCGAGGAGCTGGGCTCCGGAGGAGGAGGGTGAGGTCCTCCAGGAGCCCCCAGGGCAAGGAGGCTGGGAATGCGGGCGCGAGGGGTGAGAGGAGCTGGGCTCCGGGAGTGGGGGCGTTTCGAGAAGCGCACACGGGGTGGGGGTCCGGAGACCACAGGAGGGGCCTGCGCCCTGATGGGAGGGCCCGAGGAATGAGCAGGGCAGAGGCTGCGGGCTGGGCCCTTCGCAGTGCTGGTGGCCTGGCGGCAGCGGCTGGTGGACAAAGGTGCCAGAGAGAGCTGCCTTGTGGGCAGGAAGAGACGGTGTCACGGGAGCGGGTCTGGGTGGGCCCCTCTTCCTTCTTCTCGCACCCAGGGTGTCACAGTACACACCCTGCCTTTCCTGACAGCGAGAGCCCAATGTCGCCCAGGGTAGGACTGCTGTCCCCTCCCCCCAGGGCCGTTTTCCCTTTTTAGGTTATCTCGGCAGGAGAAAAGCACTTCCCCCTTGTTTTCCCTAACTCCCAAATGAAATTTCAACATATGTCCCCCGACATAATCCCCCTTAGGCTGCAGCTAACCCTTCCCACAGACGCCCGCCTCTGCCTGGGATTGCTCGTCCCCGGAGTGTTTGCCCAAGAGACTAGAGCCGCTTCTGGAAGCCCCTGCACTCCCTTGGGCAAACAGCAAGTACCTTTGAAGGTGGATTTGGGCCTGAATCTGTTTACTCAAGACATTAGTCTCCTGCATAAGAAAAACCTGCACTCGCGTACAAACAGCAAATCCTTTTTGAATTAAAAAAATTTTCAATTAAAAAGCATTTGGTTCGCAGAGCCAAGTCCAGCTGAGCAATTCCCAGCCGGGCGCCCTCTGGTGGGCACAGGCTGACATTGCAGCAGCCCAGCAGCCAGGCTTGGGGGCCTCTCCCAGGAAAGAGATGTCACTGTCAGGGGCTCTGTCTGGGCTTCCCTGGGCACACAGGGACCCTGCACCTAGTGGGATCAGTCCTCCCAGGTCACAGCCTGCAGGTCTCACTTTTCTCCCGGCCAAGTCAGCGTCCTGTCGGTAGGACGTGCGACCGTGCCTCCTGCTGCCCCTGGAAGGCAGAGTCCCTTGGCCCCAGCCGCCGGTGAAAAGGGTGATCAGGCTGGCTGGGTCTGCTCCAGGGAGCCCCGGGATCAGCCACAGCTGGCAGCGGAGCGCTGTGAGTGTGCACACGGGTCTGGCTGTGAGCAGAACCAAGGCCCGAGGGAGGCCCAGCTGGGGAGGTTCTGGCCCACCCCGCACGGCAAAGGCGGTGGCAGTGTTCAGAAGCACCTGGTGACTTCGGTGGCTAGGCAGATGGCAACCCGCTGCCCGAGACGCCTCACAGGAGGGGTCACATTAGGGAAAGGGACGTGCCTGCCGCCGCCTGGCTTCCCGCCTCCCCGATGCAGGAGGGTCAGGGCGATCAGGTCCTTCCACCCAGAAAGGGCAGAAAGGAATCGTTCCCAGCACTGCAGGTGAGGAAGCCGAGGCCCAGGGAAGACGTGGCCCCGAGGTCCCCGTGAGCTGGAGCAGCCCGGGGAGAGCGTGGGGCGGCCAAGCTCACGGTGGGAGGCTGGGTTGGGGCAAGTGTCTGTGCCCCCCTCTGGGGTGCAATTTGGGGGGGTGTAGGGGGCAGACCCACAGATGTGAGCTGACAGGCAAAGACCGTGAAGGGACGCAGAAAGGCCTGGCAGGGAGTGGTCCAGAGGCCAGGGCATGGGGGGTGGCTCTGGGGCAGGGGCAGTGACAGGGACAGGCCTGGAGTTGTGCCCCTGCGCCTCAGGACCTGGCCAGGTGAGGAAGTGGAGGCAATGTGAGGGGCTAGGCTGAGGCCAAGGAGAAGGCCCTGCTCAGGTGGGCGTGGGCGACCCCGAGGTCCTGAGAGAGGAGATGGCCAGCCCAGCGAGTCAGGGAGGCCCCGAGGGTCTGCGTGGAGGCCCCGCCTGCCTGCTTCTCCCAGGCTCTCCTCGGCATCCTGGGAGATCCCGGCAGGCTGGGGCCTTAGCTCGCCCTGTTTCCAGATGCGTCAAGCCGACCCTCCTTACTGGTCCCTCTGGTGATTCCTGCTCTGTTCACGCCAGGTCTCCATGTCCTTCCCTCCCCCAGCCCTGGCTTCTGAAACGGGGG